TGACTATACCCTTCTGATTAGCATAAAAGTGAAATACTGAGGCTTGGCAGGAAATGCTCCAGTAATAACTAGACAGTCCTCACTTAATGAATCTAAATGGGATCAGAACTTGTACTGCTGAACAATGTAGTCATTAAAGTGAGGACCCGAGGTGACCATAATGATTTATGATGGCATTTTCACAGCAGGACTCTGTGGGTGGCTAAGCAGGAACTTTTCTGTTATCATGTCTTGTAACTTCCCGCCAGCTTCCCCATTGACTTTGTTAAGAGGCCAACAGGGAAGGTCTCAAATGGTGATCATGTGACCACAGGACACCCCAATGGTCAGAAATGTAGCCTAATTGCCAAGTGCCCAAATTCTGATCACGATTAGAGACAATGTGATAATGGCAACCTGCAAGGAAAGGTCACAAGTACACTCATTCAGTACCATCGTTAACTTTGAACAATTACTGAATGAGTGGTCATTAAACAAAGACTACATGTACAGTAGACATTAATAGTGAGGATTTCCATTTTACAGCAGGGCAGATCAATCCATTGTAGAAGAACAAACCTCAGACTACATTCCTAGCAAAATTAAATAATTAGAATGGCCTGGTTGCAGACGTTTAATATTAATTCACTCATTGCTTACGTGTATTTCAGCCCTTTGATTTGTTTGCCGTCCATGAAGTCTTTCACTATTATTTCTGCCGAGGACAATATACAGCAAAATTATTGAAAATAGCATTAAGTCAAAATATGATTTCATACAAAAATGGGTGCAGTATAAATGGCGTCTTAGACTAATGTATATAATTACTTCAATACAGATAGTCCACGCTTAATGATGGCTAACTATGGCTAACTGGGACTGGCAACTTCCTAAGAAATACAGTCATAAATCGAAAAATCATGTGACTGTGCCAACTTATGATGGCAGTTCCAGTTGCCACTGTTAAGTGAATCGCAAACAGTCATTAAGTGAAATGTCACGTGACCATGGCTTACAACTTCCCAAGGGCTTCCGCATTTATTTTGGTTGTGGGAAGCTGGAAGGGAAGATTGGAAATAGTAACCAGACAATAACAGAACAACAGAATATCAGAGTTGGAAGGGACCTTGGAGGTCTTCTAGTCCAACCTCCTCCCCAGGCAGGAAACCTTACACCAGGGGTAGGCAACCTTGGCTCTTTTATGACTCGTGGACTTCAACTCCCAGAATTCCTGAGCCAGCCATGCTGAAGGGAAAGGGAGAGGTTTCCAAGCTGAGCCATGCTGGCTCAGGAATTCTGGGAGTTGAAGTCCACGAGTCATAAAAGAGCCAAGGTTGCCTACCCCTGCCCTACACCATTTCAGACAAACCAAAAGACTGCACGACACTGTGACCAATCATAAATACAATCAAATGATTGCAGGGGCACTGTGATGGCTGCAAACTCAGGAATTGGCTGTTAAGTCCCCTAATTCACCACTGTTGTAATTTCAAAATGAACGAGTAGTCAGGCGTTGTCTTACCTGAACGCCTTTTCTCAGCATGATGATGGAGAATCCACTAGTGGGTTGTCTTAATCTTCCTGCTCCAATAAGACTAAGTCTGGAAAGTTGCCACGCCTCTGCTGTGCAAGAGCACCCCAGTTTGCGACGAAGGCGAGGCGCAGACGTTAGTCCGACGCGTGTGCTCATCCTATCCTGTACACAGGACCAAACGGATACTAAAAAGGAGAGGGTGTGGATTCTCCATCATCATGCTGAGAAAAGGCGTTCAGGTAAGACAACACCCCTTCTCCAGCATGATTGGATGGAGAATCCACTAGTGGGACATACCAAAGCCCTGTTGTCCCTAAGGGGGGGGGGAAAGCAGTTTGGGCCCGAGTTCCACTGGTAGATACCACTTGCTGTAACACCCTCCGTCCGAACGAAGCATCCGAGGAGGCAAATTTGTCAATCCTATAATGCTTGACAAACGAGGAAGGCGAGGACCACGTCACCGCCCTGCAGATCTCCCCGATAGGTGCCTGGGTATCCCAAGCCGCCGATGTAGCCGCACTGCGGGTGGTATGGGCAGTGATGCGACCGGGGATGGTCAATGATTGGGACCGATAAGCTTGAGTAATGCAATCCCGGATCCACCTGCCTACAGTTGAAGAGGAAACCTTCTGACCCATGGACGAGGGCTGAAAGGAAACGAACAGTGCCTCGGATTTATGGAAGGCAGAAGTCCATTTGATGTAACGCCGCAGAGCCCTGCGAATGTCCAGAGTATGCCATTGCTTTTCTAGATCATGAGTAGGTTTAGGACATAAGTTAGGAAGCACTATCTCCTGCGACCTATGGTACAAGGAATTAACCTTGGGAACAAAGGAGGGATCCAGGCGCAGGGTCACCCTGTCTGCATGGAAAACACACAGGTCCTCTCTGACGGAGAGGGCGGCCAGCTCTGAAATTCACCTGGCCGACGTGATCGCTACAAGGAAAGTCACCTTCATAGACAACAGTTTCAGGGAGCACGTGGTAATGGGCTCAAAGGATGGCGATGTGAGGGCCTGTAAGACCCGGGGTAGGTCCCAAGAGGGATAATGGCAGACCGCCGGAGGCTTGGCATTTGTTGCGCTTTTTAAGGAACGCACCGTAGGGTGTTGCGCCAAGGGGGCAGAATTGTCACACACGATCACCGTGGAAAGGGCTGAAACCTGTCTGCGGATGGTGTTTGGGGATAACCCCTTGTCCAACCCATCCATCAGGAATTCTAGAACAACTGGAATAGTGATGTCCGAAAGTTCCACTTTGTGACTTGAACACCAGGCACAAAAACTCCTCCATGTGGCATCATAAATCCTATTTGTGGAAGGGCGCCTGGATTGCTGGATCATTGCTATCACCCTTGACGAATATGATTTTCGGGTCAAGGCCCGCCGCTCAAATGCCAGGCGGTTAGTTGGAGCCACTGGGGATCCGGATGCTGAAGTACTCCCTGGCTGAGGATGACACGACCAGAGGGAATCCTCCACGGGTGAGAGATGGAAAGTTCCACCAGGTCGGCGAACCACGGACGCCTCGGCCAATGTGGGGCAATCAGGATGACCTCTGCCCCTTCGTGTAGGATCCTGCGGATTGTCGCTGGGATCAGGGGAAAGGGAGGAAAGGCGTATAACAGCTCCCTGGGCCAGGGACTGCAGAGGGCATCCGTCCCTTCTGCTCCCCGAGATGGGAACCTGGGAAAAAACCTTGGGAGTTGGGAATTGGTTGGAGAGGCAAAGAGGTCTAGCGCCGGATGACCAAACCTGTCCGCGATCTCCCTGAACAAGTCGGGTTCCAGACGCCACTCGGAGTGGTCCACTGTGGCCCTGCTTAAGGAGTCTGCCTGCTGATTTGCCTCTCCGGAGATGTGTTCCGCTCTGATGGAAGACAGATTGTGTTCCGCCCAAGTCCCCAACAAATGGGCCTCTTCCATGAGAGGCCTGGATCTGGTTCCCCCGTCTGTTCACATGAGCCTTTGCAGCAATATTGTCTGTGAGCACTAGGACATATTGTCCCGCCACCCTGCTGCTGAAGTGGCATAAGGCTAGATGTATAGCCCTGGGCTCCAACCAGTTTATATTGTTCTGTAAGTCTGTCTGGGACCACCGGCCCTGAGCCAATTCTGACTGAAGGTGTGCTCCCCAGCCGAAGAGGCTGGCATCCGTTGTCAGGGTAATCCTGACTGGTTCCATGAACTGGGTGCCCCTTGCCATTGCTGAGGAGGCCCACCACTGAAGGGAGTTCAATGCCTGATGCGGAACTCGAACCTTCCGGTTGGAAGCGCTGATGCGTAGCCTCTGGAATGGAAGCAAAACCCACTGTAGTTCCCTGGCGTGAAGACGTGCCTAAGGTACAATTGCTATACAGGACACCATCTTCCCAAGGAGTTGTGACAACAATGCCAGGGAGACCACTCGCTCCCTCCGAACCCGAAGAACTAGGGCCCGTATGCTGTCCTGTCGTTCCTGTGACAGATGGACTGTGCAAGTGTGTCGATGATTGCCCCCAAATGGAGGAAACGGGTGGATGGAACTGTCTGGCTTTTCTGAAAATTGACAGAGAACCTGTGAGTCTGAAGGGTTTTGATGGTGCGGGCTAGGTCCGATTGAGCCTGCTGGAAGGATGGAGATTGTATTAGAATATCGTCCAGATAGCACTGGACCCGGATTGGAATTTGTCTCAGGTGGGCGGCCAGCACTGCCAATATCTTTGTGAACACTCAGGGGGCCGAAGAGAGACCGAATGGAAGGACTCTGTATTGGTAATGCTGGTGGGTATAGCAAAATCCGAGGAACTTGTGATGTCCAGGGAGGATAGGAATGTAAGTATGCCTCCGTTAAGTCTATTGATGTCAGGAAGTCCCCTTTCTGATGCTGGCTAGGATCGATTGAAGCGACTGCATTTTGAACTTCCTGTAAGTTAGGTAGTAATTTAGACTCTTTAGATCCAAAATTGCCCTCCAGCCCCCCGAAGTCTTTGGAACGACAAAAAGATTGGAGTAAACCCCCCTCCCCTTCTGATCCCCCGGCACTGGTTCTATGGCCCTAATCTGTGATAAATAGAAAATGGCCTCTGACATGAGGTCCGCTTTGTTTGTGTTCTTGGGGGTGGGACAAGACCGGAAATATTCCGGAGGACTGGACCAGAATTCCAGGGCTAGACCGTGAGTGATGGTATTTAACACCCAGGCGTCTGTGGTGGTACCTTCCCATAAATTGGCGTAGAGGGACAGTCGACCACCTATGGGGGAAATATCCCTGGAGTCACTTGGTTCTTCTGAAGGGACGCCCTCCTGAGCCTCGAAAGGGCTGCTTGGTCTGGAACTGAGTCTTTGCCCTGGGTGCGGGACGGTCCTGCTGATGGTCTGGTCTCTGGGTAAAGGTACGGGAGGGTTGAGGTCAGTCCCAATTCGAAGCTGGACGGAAGGACTGCCTGTGAAAATAATGGTGTGAAGTACCGCTACCTGATCGCCTATCCCCTCTCCAATTCATATTTATCATGGTTTTACGTTTGTCCTTGCCCTCTACGAGATAAGGGTTGAGGGCTTCACCAAAGAGATGTTCCCCATTATAAGGCTCAGTGGCCAGACGCCATTTGGCCTTCAGGTCCGCACGCCAGTTCTTGAGCCATAGACGCCTACGGGCTGAGATGTCTGCTGCTATGGCCCGTGAGGAATACCTTGCAGCATGGAGGGAAGCGTCAGACATGTACTGCGATGTGGCCACTAACTTACCCAGGTTCTGATGGGCACGAACCTGGTCAGGGGGCACCAAGTCTTGGAGCTCACGCAGCCATATGATGGAGGCCCGGCGAAGAAAGCCAGGGATGTAGACGCCTTGACCGCCCATGCCGAAGCCTGATGGGATCTGCGAAGGGCAGATTCAAATTTCTTGTCCTCTGCTTTGAGTGCTTCGGCCATGTCCCTTGGAATAGTGGAATTAGAAAATAGAGAGTTTAATGGTTCATCTATCAGGGGAACCTCCAGCAAGGATGCGAAGGAAGGTGCCACATTAAATAGATTTCTCTCTGAGACCCCCGGAGTGGAAAGAGATCCCAGGTTCGCCCACTGCTTCTGCACCGTATTGCGGAAGAAGGGGGGGCAGGGAATATGCTTCTGTGTCACCACCGGCTCAGAATACAGTGGGTTCGGGTCCTGGGATGTAGAAGGAGCCAGCTGAGCCTCCTGTTCCGGGGCGATGTTAGCTGAAGAGCACGCCTTGAGAAGCAGCGAGCCAAACAAAGATTGGTCAAACAGGCCTGTGAGAGGTGCCGGGTCCGGGGGAGAGACATCCTCATCGTCTGACAGGATCAGTCCAGCAGGATCGAAATCCTCAGAATCTGATTCCGAAGAAGCCTCCTGCAGAAATGCAGGGGCCTCAGCCTGATGAGATGGCCGTGAAGGTGCTGCTGGAACTTGTTGGGGCCACTGACCAACTGAAGAGGCCATAAACTGAACAAAGGCCTGAGCCATCATGGCCTGAAATTGATCAGGCCACGTTGCCTGTGGCTCAGAGGGGCGGAGCCCTGCTGCGATGGGCGTAAAGGTAGCCTACGTCCCTGATTGTAACGTGCCTGGAGTGGCAACCTTCTGCGATTCTAGACCTTGGTTAAGTATGATGGGTTCTAGCTGCACGGCCTCCCTTTGAGGGGACCAGGCCCTTGGAGCTAGGTTAGAGGGAACTAGCTGGGGTTCAAATAGTGGCGTCACAGTTGGAGTAGACATGTTAATATCCGCGTCCCCTGGAGCCGGTTGACGTGCCCTGGATAATTCCCTTTCTAGGGCCTGGCGCCTGCTGGCCTCCTTTTCTGCTGTCTTTAAGGACTTTCTATTGGACTGAGCCTTGGCCTTTGCCTTCAGCCTCCCCGCCGCCTCCATTGTGGAGGCTTTCTGTTTCTTCCTGGCGGGGGAGTCAGGAATGCCCTGGGCCTGTTGAGGGCCGGAATTATCCAACATCCTATTAGAGGAACAGAAATGGTTCAATTACTACCACTGCACCCAAATGGATAGAGAGACTCCAACGAATGTCCCTCTAGCACCAGTGGCTGATAGCGTTAATCGCTATAGCAAGGCCACCTGTGGTGACTCAGTGTCCCCAATGCTATGAGACCATTGACCGGTCCCCTCCCTCCAGGCTGTAGGATCCTGTAGTGGAATCCAGCTACTGGAGGGGTGGGGGGCAAATTCTCAGGCAATGTGGCCCTATCGGGCTGGATTGCCCTCCCCAGAACCAATACAAAGGGAGCTATCAGCCTCTCAAGCTGCAATTGTGTGTGCTGAAAAATGGCGGCCGTGCTGAATTCGCGCCCAATTTAACTGCCGCTAGGCCTGTAGATCGCAGCTGTAGCCAACTATACAAATTAAGCCTTTGTGCCTCGCCAAAATGGCAGCCGCGCATTTTCGTGCTCAAATGGATGGCTCCGATAAACTGAGCAAGCCCGGCCGGAACGATGTCTCCGGCACTGCATCGAACAGCCGAGGGGCCGAGAGAGGGGGGGAGAGGGAGCCTGTCAAGCACAAGAAACAAACGGCTTTCTCTGGCGCTGCGTTATGATAGCGATCGGCAGAGATGAACAACGGAGCCACGAGCAGTTCAGGAGGATCGGCAGGCAGTCTGCTGAGGTAATTAGGCCTCCAGCTGCAGTTAACTCTGTCAGAGCGAGGGAAAAGGTCGGCGGTTGTTTAAGCTATTTCCAGCTCCGCGCCGATCAGCTGGTGCAATTCGAGCCGTCGGGAGGCCTCGCGCTGAAAGCCAGCCCTCCCTGCTCGTCGACAGGCTGAGCCTGTAGAGATCCCTGAAGTCCAGAAAGGAACCACCCTCAGCACCAATCTATGCGACCTCCTGAAAGTGGCTAAATTCGAGATATCCAATTGTAAGAACTTTGTAAATGTCCTGATTCAATCCCAAGTATTGTGAATTAGGCCTAAAGAAAGGAAAATCCACTAGGGATGATACAACCTGCTGCTAATCCTGGAAAGGAGCACAAATCACGTGTCTGCTGAGCACGAGACTAAGTCGTAAACTGGGGTGCTCTTGCACAGCAGAGGCGTGGCAACTTTCCAGACTTAGTCTTATTGGAGCAGGAAGATTAAGACAACCCACTAGTGGATTCTCCATCCAATCATGCTGGAGAACTACCTGTACTCACTTGATTTACATACTAATAATTTGGGCATAGGTAAAATGGTTGTACACATGGACGGTTTGCAGCCAATAGTTCCCACTTGTTAAATGTATGGCAACTGCCAAGAGCAGGTATGCAGAATTTCTATTGGTTTGACAGATACATGTTGTGCTTGGCATGACAAAGTTTGCATTTCAAAAGTAGGTGTGACCAGGGTCTGCTTTGGACAGGTGTCACTTTATTTACTTCTTCGCTCTGAAAACTGCCCTGACAATTTGACTCAAGGTTTCACGATGACCAGCCATGAATCAAATGATAGTAAAAAGGTTGTCCAAATATCTTCTTAGCCCCTCCATCTAAACATCACATCCACTCCTCTTTAGAGTTCATCATGCACGGTATGTTTGTAAAGCTATAGTGGAGATCACACGATGCCTGCCAAAACTTCTCCTAGCAGATATAAAGAAAAACAGCTTACTCACAGAGGATGATCAGGTCCCCAATATACACCTGTTCCAGCACGTGCTGCCTCGCGTCCATTACTTGAACAACATCCATCCGTATAAACAGTTACATAATCTCCTAAAAAGGCAGATTTGCATTAAAACAGCACAAGACAATGTCAAATTCCTAAACAATTTAAACAGATTGTTTCTGGAAACTGCATTTAAATACAGATAATAAAACTAATTCAGAGTATGATATACAATATTTAGCCAGTTTTAGCAAAACACTTAACTTTTGTATAATCTAAGCATACTATACAATGGAAACCAAAATTGAAAACTGTAGCTGATAAATTGCTAATACTAAAATAAATAATTCTGGGAGAACAGGCCTATTGGAATTATCATGAATATTCTTTTATACGTGGAAGAAAGTATCTAAGGCTGGAGTCTCCTCACAACAGCAGGCAAGATCAAATACATCTCACTATCATTATAAAAGAGAGAAAAAGGAAAAGGTTTCATCAAGAAAACACAGATCCACCCTCTATCCATAGAAAGAATAGTATCTCCATACTTCCATTTTAAACAGTGGAAGATGGTAACTGCAGCTAGGACTAAACAACATGGTTTCAATCAAGTAGGACAGTGGTTCTCAACCTTTTTAATGCCGCGACCCCAACTGGTCGTAAGTCGAGGACTAAACCGGTCATAAGTCGAGGACTAAACCGGTCGTTAAGTTGAGGACTACCCAACCGGTCATAAGTCGAGGACTTTCCCTGCCCGGGAGCGCCGCGCATGCGTGGTTCCGCCCCCTGCGCCAGCTGAGGCGTAGCTGGCAATCGGCAGAGACGGAGCAGGCCGACCACCAGCTGGCCCAGCCCAAGGGAGGTAAGGCACCCGCCGGAAAAGGGGAAAAATGGCGGACAAAAAAAATGGTGGACAGCCTTGCTTGGCGACCCTCATGAAATGGTCGATCGACCCCAAATGGGGTCCCGACCCACAGGTTGAGAACCACTGAAGTAGGAACTTACACCCACCCAGCACATCACACACTATTGAAAACTTCCTGCTGAAGATATCATTAGCCAAAGCTTGCAATGCAAAAAGGAAGAGAAAATGGATCATGTAGCTAAATGATTAGAGGAACATTATTAGCAATGGCTGCACTCTAGTGGAATGGACTATGATTTTGCTGTAACAAGAGCAAGTAGAGATTCACAGCAAGCTCAGGAAGGTGGATCGATTCCAGGATGATTATAGTAGACATTCTGTGCCCCAACAATGAACTTGAAACAATGGCAAAAACTCTTTATAGAATATGCCAATCTTTTTTCTAGTCGCCTATACCGGATGAGACGAGGCAAAGGAAGCCACAACTGCCACTGATGAAACAATTGCCTTCAACCATAGATGAGGGATTAATTTAAATTCCTACAGAATTAAGAAGAAAACAAATAGCCTGCTTCAAGATGACAAGGTTACTAGTTCCAGAATATATCAGACTGAAGCAATAAGAAATTTCTATTCTATTTTGTAGGATAGAAACTGAAGAGCACTTTAGAAAGCGTCTTATATGGAGTAGTAACCAATGCCTTAGAAGCCACATGAAGATTTCCGGAGTGAAACCTATGAATGATAGAAGTAGGAAAGTCAGTGAAAGATCACTAATTCTTGGTAAGATCACATCTATAGTGAAAACATATTAGGCCATGGTCTGGCAAGCATGCTCAGAAACTAGGAGAGAAGAAAAGAGGGAGGGATAAGACATAAAAAATAATGATATCTGCCTAAATCCAATAGCAGAACTCCATGGATAAGAGGATCAAAATCCCATCTTTAATGAAAGAGAAATCAGAAGCTCTTCATTCCAGAGGACCATTCACTCTTATCGTCAAATCCCCACAAATTGGGTTGTGATACCATGCAGAATGGCATCACACGGCAGACCTCTATCAAAATTCAGGCATTCCACAAATGTTAAGCTGAATCTGGGGCACTATAGAGGGAAATCCACCTAGGAAGATGGCCATAGCTCCTGCAAAAGTAGCTTGATTGCAGGACAAAGCCCCAGAGCTGGTGATCCCAGCCTCTGGAATGCTTGCCTGATTCCAGAGTGGAAACTGTCCCCTTTGATGCCTTAGAAACTGTATTCTGCAAGAAGGAAAATGGAAAGCAGGAATGTCTTAAATCTGTAAAAGGCAGGACATTTCGGTGCTGCCATCTTGCCAGAGCCACTTCGGCATGGACAAATCGCCCTGGGAAACTCACAGTGGGACAAATTGCCATGCTCCTCACAGCACCTCCCTTTGCGAGGGAGGCAATCATCAACCACAGTGTCTCAACGGGCCACATCTCTGAATCTGGCATCATAGTGCTGCGACTGGCTGGTTGGGTCGGAGTGTGTCCACTACACACAGCTGTCTATCAGAGGGGGGAAGGGTGTGCTGAAAAGTGAGGCAAGAAAGCCTTCAAGAGAAGGGAGGCAACCCCTCTCCATGAAAGGCAGGCTAAGCGGGAGTCACTGACAGTTGCTAGATGGCTGTCACTGTCCCTGCTTGCCCATCTTCCTGTCCTGGAACAGTCACTGTCCAATGCAGCACACTGAAGAAGAGGTCTGCAACATGAGACTGGAACAGATGCTGTCCTCTTCCAAGGGCTCGCAGGGAAAAAGGAACAGCTGAATGCAGCTCAGGCAGAATGCTTCCCCGGCAGGCAGGACATGCCTCTCACACGTGGTTAGTAACTGCAAATAGCCCGCAAAGCAGACACACTCCGACCTGACTGACCAGCCACACCCGCAGGAGGTTGGACCTGGATCCGAAGACGTGGCCCATTGCAATGACATAGCTGACCGCTGCCTCCTGCGAAGGGAGGTGCTGCAAGTTGTTGCACGGCGATTTTCCCGTGGCGTTGTCCCACGCGGAGATGGCTCTGGCAAGATCGCAGAACCGAGATGTCATAGACCTGGCCTGGAAAACTAGCTCAGTGAGTTCCTCTCCCCTATGGTTTTTGTCATGCCTGCTAAAGTAGAAGAAATGCATAATTCAGCTTTGGATAACTTCCCTCCATTAATGGGAAACAATAGGTAAATTTATAATTGGATAAAATTCCTTCCCCTCAAATCCATTTTCAAAGCCTATTCCTTCCTCCCCTTCCCCCCAAGCTTTTCATTTTGCTCCAATTCTGTAGTCTGAATTGCCAGGTGGGAGGGGCTACATTCCAGAGGGCCAAGAGGCAGCGAAGTTTAGATAGTTTGATGGGAGAAAGAGGATCAAGAAAGCTCTTCCCTAGAACTTCTGTCTATGGCAAGGGTCTTCAAACTTGGCCCTTTTATGACAGACAGGCACGCTGGCTGAGGAATTCTGGGAGTTGAAGTCCACAAGTCATAAAAGGCCCAGGTATGAAGACCCCTGGTCTATGGTGAGGAGCAATAAAGAAACTGCTTAGAAATAATTGACATCAATATTGCCAAACTAAAGCAACCACTTACATAATTAAGGCATACACTGAGAAGTTCAACCAAACTATATAAACTTCATTGCCTCTTGGCCCTCTGGAACCTAGCCTCTTCCTCCTGGGAATCCAGACTACATTCTATCACACATACCCAACAGTTAAGCAAATATTGCCCCTTATTTCCTTGTTTGATCCGTTGCTAGCTTTATTTTTTTCCCCCATCTTCCCCAGTATTCATTTTAGATACTTATAGAACTTGCAATATTCAAACCCCAAATTCTTATTAACTCTTTATAGCTACTAAGCATAGAAGCAATACTCTAGTGCCAAATTTCTGTAAGAGGAAAGACATACAGTTTTTCATCAAGAGAAGAAATATCATACAAAACAGATTCAAAGGCATTATAATAAGTTGCAGAAAGAGTGGAGTTACCCATGTATAAGAATTCATTCTTATCTGCCGGAGGAGTATAAGGAACATCTGTGTATTTTACACGCTTATTTGTACATTTGCTCCCTGAAAGCTCTCCGTATCGTCTTTTGTGTGATCTTGCATTATATGACTGAGATGTAGCCTTGTTACTGTAATAGCTATAATTGTTCGGCTTTTCACCAAGGCCTTAGAAAAAAAGAAAAGAAAATGATACCACTATCAAATTGATAGTGTAATGTTCATATTGAAGAACATCACTGGAGCTCCTCACATTTTAATCAGTTTAATTCACACATCCAAAGGTCTTTTCACACGAAATTTTCCTTATTTACTAATATATTTTTTTAAAAAAAACTTTTTAAAATACAGAATAACTTTAGGAAAAATAATTCACATACACGGCATTAAGAGATGATCTTTTCTCTTTATCAATTTATTCATCCAAAGGTGAAAGGTAACACAGATGGTATTTATATCTAATAGAAAAAATATGCAGGATTTTGTAACTAAAAGAGAGGATTTGATTACCAGCAATGATTTGAGCATTAACATCAAAAAGTAGCAGTGCACATAGTGCAAGCAACTTCATCACTAGAACCATACTTAATTTTGATGCTGAATTGATACCACCGGTATTGCAATTCTCTGGTAAAAAGAGAACAGATTTTATTTATTACCCAAGGGTGTTTTGGGGTATTTTACATCGGCTAAACAGAACCTACTGTACAGATGGCTGGAAACGCCAATGATTGTGAAAGCTAAAAAGCACTGATGCCTTTAAGGATTATTTATATAGGATTAAATGATTTTTGCTGCTCATACAGCCTGGACTTCCTTGGTTTTTGGAGGAGCTTTGCGAGATGAAATGGTGGTAGAGATGCTAAGAGTGCTATTGGCGGAAGACAAAGAGTGAACTTGACCAAGGAAGAGAAAGCAGCTTTGTGAAGGATTACCTCATGGTAATCCACTCTCTGCATCAATAGGTTACCAGCCAGTGTCTTACCGATTCAATCACTGCTGTGTAAGTAGGGACTAAGAATATCTGTAAGGCCACTCTAAGGATTATTCTATGCATCTGTTGGAAAAAGTAGTTTGGAATCACCCTGAGATGAATGGCACCTGTGTAGATCCCAGGGAGGTGTCTAACACATTGTCTAGCCAGCCAGAAATTCTGGGAGTTGAAGTCCACGAGTCATAAAAGAGCCAAGGTTGCTTACCCCTGGTCTAGCCCTATTATCTGAGAAGAATTGGAACCTGTCAGTCCTGAAAGAGTAGACATCTCCTTGGGGCTGTGTGATCGCTTGTGTTTTTGGCCTATGCCTCCTGATTGGACCAACTTCCCCCACCAAAGATGACACATGGTTGCGTCCATACAACAGTGATCCATGTGAGGGACTGGTTCTACCAGCTTTGCAGGAGGTAGTGGTGTAGCCTTTCCTCAGGAAACTATTGCTCAATTTAGCAGAGTCCAGCACCCATTTGTTTTCATCCAATCTTCTTAGGGAGGGCTGCAGATAGGTCAGGGCAAGATCTTTCTTGCTATGGTTATTTCTCAGCTTCTTTTATTTTGTTCAGATTTTGCATTTTACTAATAACAACCATAATATAAACGTCATTAGAAAAGCTGCAGATTTAAAAGTAATGGGATTTTAGCTCAATACTTGGCACATGGACTATCAAAGTTCAAAGGCAAAAACCTAGAAGAGGAAGAATTCACCCACTCTTATTGCCACTGCCATACTTGTCTATTTCTATTCTAACTTCTCCAGCTACTGTGTGTTTTCTCATTAAGCAGAGGAAAATTATCACTGCAGCAATACATTTTTCAGACCACTTTGGCTATTAGAAAGCATAGCATTGACTGAACAACTCTTATTCTTTCAGCTGTAACTTTGTTATAAAGCTTTACCCATCAATTCTATTTTAAAAAGCAAGGTAACTGTAAGACTCATTAATGATTGCAATAATTTTGATTGAAAATAACCAGAGGGGCTACATTCCAGAGGGCCAAGAGGCAGCGAAGTTTTGACAGTTTGACGGGAGAAAAAGGATCAAGAAAGCTCTTCCCTAGAACTTCTATCTATGGCAGGGGTCTTCATACCTGGCCCTTTTATGACTTGTGGACTTCAGCTCCCAGAATTCCTCAGCCAGGTACGCTGGCTGAGAAATTCTGGGAGTTGAAGTCCACAAGTCATAAAAGGGCCAGGTATGAAGACCCCTGGTCTATGGTGAGGAGCAATAAAGAAACTGCTTAGAAATAATTGACATCAATATTGCCAAACTAAAGCAACCACTTACATAATTAAAGCATACGCTGAGAAGTTTAACTAAACTATATAAACTTCATTGCCTCTTGGCCCTCTGGAACGTAGCCTCTTCTTCCTGGTAATCCAGACTACATTCTATCACACATACCCAACAATCATGGTTAAGCAAATATTGCCCCTTATTTCCTTGTTTGATCCGTTGCTAGCTTTATTTTTTTTCCCCATCTTCCCCAGTATTCATTTTAGATACTTATAGAACTTGTAATATTCAAACCCTAAATTCTTATTAACTCTTTACAGCTACTAAGCATAGAAGTAATACTCTAGTGTCAAATTTCTGTAAGAGAAAAGACATACTTTTTCATCAAGAGAAGAAATATCATACAAAATATCATACAAAACAGATTCAAAGGCATTATAATAAGTTGCAGAAAGAGAGGAGTTACCTTTGTATAAGAATTCATCCTTATTTGCCGGAGGAGTATAAGGAACATCTGTGTATTTTACATGTTTATTTGTATATTTGTTCTCTGAAAGCTCTTCGTATTGTCTTTTGTATGATCTTTCGTTATATGACTCAGATGTAGTGTTGTTACTGTAATAGCTATAATTGTTCGGCTTTTCACCAAAGCCTTAGGGGGGAAAAAAATGATACCACTATCAAATTGATAATGTAATGTTCATATTGAAGATCATCACTGGAGCTCCTCACATTTTAATCAGTTTAATTCACACATCCAAAGGTCTTTTCACACGAAATTTTCCTTATTTAATATTTGTGCAAATCTCCTCAAATTTACAAATTAAAAAAAAATCTTTTTAAAATACAGAATAACTTTAGGAAAAATAATTCACATACATGGCATTAAGAGATGATCTTTTCTCTTTATCAATTTATTCATCCAAAGGTGAAAGGTAACACAGATAGTATTTATATCTAATAGAAAAAATATGCAGGATTTTGTAACTAAAAGAGAGGATTTGATTACCAGCAATGATTTGAGCATTAACATCTTTATATAACTTTGTTATAAAGCTTTACCCATCAATTCTATTTTAAAAAGCAAGGTAACTGTAAGACTCATTAATGATCGCAATAATTTTTATTTAAAATAACAACCAGACTGCCTCTATCAAGAAATAAATACAGCTGAAATTATTTTCTGGAGGTACAACCAGTTCATTGGAGTTGTGAATTTCATTTGAATACACAGTTCATCCTACTTACTTTTCATTACATCTAGTATATTATCTTTAATTATCAGAAAGCTATTTCTATATTTCTGCTATTCAAATTTAGAAAGTTGCATAGTATACCTGTTGAAGAAATGGATGATTCTGCTGACTCTTCATTTATAAAAGCCCAAGCTTCTTTCTTTGATGCAAACTTCTTAAAGCTGGCAGACTGATATCTATGAACTTGTTCGTTACATTCCTCCCTGTCAAAATACAGTGGAAAAAAGAGCAGCATATTGTTTAGATTACAATATCACAAATTCCCTAAATAGAAAATGTTAGCTTCTTTTAAGGTTTTCTTTGAAAACCTGTGTGAAATGAAAACAGAATTGGACAAATTTCTTCTGTAGATTTGCTTAATTTATGTGTTTTCACAAATAGTCAATATAAATCTATTTACGAGTGTTTTATTTTCTTAAAATTTTACACTGCCCATTTCACTAAGTGACTTGGGTCTTGCAACCTATCTACACCTATGGTGTATTCATGAAGTCACCTTGGCTATTTCTCATCTATAGGATGAGATTTTCAGAGTCCCAAAACATATTCCCTTGAAACTGAATCTCAGTAAACTTAGTTACTGTAATTTTCATGTAAATCTTTATATTCCTTTTTAGAAGCACAAAGTTGGAAACACCATCTTCTCTTGTTAATTAGTATGTCTTTGTATGGTTACTTAAGATTGAAGGATATGACTGACTCCAAACTATCTGGTGAACTTAATAGCTCAGTATTGATTATGGCACTAAATGACTTCACTGTTTTTAAAGTTTAGTGTTAACAGCAACTGATGCCTATTTAACAGCCTATCATCTTCCTCAAGAAATCTATTGCCTTTATGCCTGACTGCTCACTTACTGAGATGGGCAACCATAGAAATAATTGAGTGGACAAATTAAGCATGGATGTCTTAATAGGCTTGGGGATCTCAAGAAACTGGTGAATTAGTGAAATAGCTGTACTGCCTATAATAACTCTCTGCTACTGTTATTAGTAGTCCTGATAGGTACTTTCAATTGCAGAGTGTTTATTTTTTTAATTGTTTACCACCCAGAATTATGCTGGGTGAGATAGGCAACTGTATAAATATATAATAAGTTGCAACTGTAATTATTTGATTGACACAATGACATTTTGGGGAACAGAATCAAAGAGTATGAAATAATGCATTCAATTTAAAAGCTACTAAGATTGTTGGCCCAGCAGGGACAAAAATAGCCAAAGAAATAATTAAAGCCTGGGAAATGAGCCCTGATCAGTCAACAGGAGTGCTGATTTATCACCAGCTTACCAGGTACTTAGGAACCAGTGACACAAGAAAACACTCAAGGACGACTTAATAGCCGGACATCAACATCCCCATCAATTATTAAAAGCCACATACAATCAGGCACCATATAAATACTATGCATAGAATAGCCCAGTGCACATATTCTGGAGACAAGAGAAATTCCCTTAGGATGTACTCCATCATGAGTCTGAAAGAATAAACCTCTGGTCCCAGTGACTGACTTAGATGATTGGATCCTGCAACATTTATTCTGGGGTACATATATTTGCCTTCATTTGCGACTATAAAATAAATCTTATATATAGTTTAAGAAGCTTTTAAGGGAAGATCCAGAGTCAAGGCTATCTCCTCTCCTCTCTCAACTGGCTGATCTCTACTTCTCAGATTATCCTACGTACAAGTGTTGGAAGAAAAGTCTTCATCCTGGTTCATCCAAGCTGGGAATAAACATGGCAACTGCTTTGGGAAGAAAGTTGTAGTTTACTGGAGAGGAGAGCCAGACAGGAAGATGGCTCTGGCAGAAAAGACTAGAGAAAAGAAGGGCTGAGCACATGGGTAGTAGGTTTTTATATTCTCTAGCCTTTTGTTTGGAATAGTTTCCTGTTCCTGTGGCATGAACTTTGAGGCTATTTCCTGTGTCATGTATTCTGACCTGAGTTTAGGTGTGCCTCTCTGGTATTCTTTATGGTGATGGGGCTAAAGACTCCTAGAGTTTGGGTGGGGTATGCAGATTTTAGGTGTCTTTGTCTTCTTGATCTCCTAGCTGGGGCCTTTCTGATGGTTTACATCTGCATTTGTATAGGGCTGGCTTCTGCTTCGGGGAGGGAGACCTGGGCATGCTTTTCTGTCTCTTTAAGACCCTTGAAGGAAATATATTTTTTCCTGCCCTTTTAATATTTCCTTCTCTGGGGGTGGGGTGACTTCCCACAAAAGGCTGTTGGAAAGGTAAAAGGAAGGGGGAAAATAAAGGCTTCAAAAGGTGTCGCAACTAAGGGATTCTTGCTTTAAAGCAGTGTTTCTCAACCTTGACAATTTTAAGGCATGTGGACTTCAACTCCCAGAATTCCACATCCAGCAATGCTGGCTGTGGAATTCTGGGAGTTGAAGTCCACATGCCTCAAAATTGTCAAGGTTGAGAAACACTGCTTTAAAGGGATGAGAGAGAGAGAGAGAGAGAAAACGAAACATTACGGGGCGGGAGAAAGATGCGCAGCTACTCACCAGGTGCCATACACTCCTATTCTCCTACCTCTCCGCACCGCGTAGAACATGCCGCCGCTGCCAAGGGCACCAGAACTGGTGGGAAAAAATGGATGAACGAGCAGAGCTAGAATCCGGCGCCACATAATAACTAGCCCTGCCGCCGCCTCCTCCCGTTCCCTCCCATCTGCGCCGCCGCCGCCGCCTCCCCGACTCAATCTCGAGAGTCGACCGAACCCAGACTCCACGCTTCCGGATGACGAGCTAATCGAGAGCCGTCGAGGAGGTACGTCGCAGCTGTGGGACCGAGAACCGGAGACACAAACAATGGGGGAGCAACACTTCCGGTTTTCAAGCGCGACCGCGAGTCGAGCATCAACTGAGAGTTGATGTCGCGCCTCGCTACCTAGAGCAGCCTTCCCGTGGAAACCGGAAACGCGCGCTCTCCCGTCTCTATGACCTCGCCTAAGAAAGTTTTTCCAAGCACGAAAGTAGTTTGTGCACATGCGCCACCGCGGTTTTTTTTTTTTCCCCCCCTTCCAGTTTCTGCCTCGGAAAACGGAAAGCTTCAAGCGAGATTTCCGTGGCGCATGCGCGAATTTTTGGCCTTTGTTTTGAAGGCGGGAAAGCGACTGAGATTTTCATGCCCGTAGATTGAAATGATCGCCATTTAATCCCTATTACATTCAGAGGGCCCACTTCTGAGCTACAATAGGAATGGTTGACCTCGACCTGTTTTTTTTTTAAAAAACGTAATCGATTTAAATTGAAATTACAAGAATTAAGTGCTTTCAATTTTAAGCAGGATTTATTTACAACGCTTACGCTGCACTATTGTTTAGCTCTTCAGTTCTCGAGTAGCATGACGGATCGAGTTGGTATCTTCTATAATTTGTGACAGAAATTTTGTAAGCCACTTGTTACAAATTGATTAAAACTCTCTACTATACTTTTTTCCACACAAAAAAAGAACCCAAGTAAAGATAATGAACCTCCTGTGAATTGTGAATCTATATATAAGGTAATTAGTTGTGCAATCTTTCACACGGGGAAGTTTTAAGAAATTCCTTTCTAAAGTAATTTAAGGAGAAATTCTTTTCTAAAATTAATACATAAAGAAATTTACTAGGACAGAGAAATGCAAGACAGCCAAAAATTACATAGGACTCCAAATAAAGTGTTCTAAAATACTGGATAGTGCTATTTGATGATCTGGGTTGGCATAACTTTTTCTTTTACCTAATCCCTATTGTTTCCTAGGCAAGTTGATTTATTTGGTCTTTCCTGTCCATGGTGCTTAGCAAATGGATGGAAAAGAATTACAATACCTAGAAATCAATTTTTGAGCTAAAATAGATTACTTGAATTCAAATTCAGCACCTCTGAAAGCTGACAAGCAAACTAATGTTTCCAGACAAGAGAAACCTATAGCAATATTGGATTTGTTTTATTCAATTTATATAGCTGCCCATCTCATAGAAGCAAAACGAAGTTTAAAGCAATATAAATATCTTTAAAAAAGCATCGAACCAAAACATAACCAAAATAGGTTAAGATAGCATCCAAAAAATAGAACTATCACAGGGGTTCTCAACCTTGGCAACTTTAAGACTTGTGGACTTCAACTCCCAGAATTCCTCAGCCAGCTTTGCTGGCTGAGGAATTCTGGGAGTTGAAGTCCACAAGTCTTAAAGTTGCCAAGGTTGAGAACCCCTGAATTATAAGAATAAAGCCGGGGTGTTCAGAGCTTGTTTCTTGCAGACATTTGTGTTTTGTCACTGGGAAGTGGGGTTTATTGGATATTTACATATAACAGTTTGTCCTATCAGATGTTACCAACTTGTAATAAAATGTTTGCAAAAAGAAAACCAAGCTCAGGGAACACTGAAAACCTAGCAATTTAATCCTATTAGTATCGTCTTTACTGTTGCAAAATTTGATTTTCCTACTCATTCGTCTTATGTGTTTTTGTTCTCAGATGTTTAAACACATTTGAAAATACTTAGAAAAAAGCCACTTATAAAACTGTATTTTTAAATTTCAAAAAAGGCTGGGGTTTCCCCCCCCCTCGGTGTTAAGAATACAATGCAAAAGGAAAAGGCTAAGGTTTGTTCTCACGTTCTATTTTAGCGTTCCAGTTCCAAACAAATACTCCCAATTTCCCTCTCCTTCAATTTCTCTTTTTGCCCGGCCTAATAAAGAACACAGATGAAGATCACGTGAAGTGTTCATACCACTTTACAATGCCTTGGTAAGGCCACACTTGGAATACTGCATCCAGTTTTGGTCACCGCGATGTAAAAAAGATGTTGAGACTTTAGAAAGAGTACAGAGAAGAGCAACAAAGATGATTAGGGGACTGGAGGCTAAAACATATAAGGAACGGCTGCAGGAATTGGGTATGTCTAGTTTAACGAAGAGAAGGACGAGAGGGGACATGATAGCAGTGTTCCAATATCCCAGGGGCTGCCACAAAGAAGAGGGTGTCAAGCTATTTTCCAAAGTGCCTGAAGGCAGGACAAGAAGCAACGGATGGAAACTAACCAAGGAGAGAAGCAACCTAGAACTAAGGAGAAACTTCCTGACAGTGAGAACAATTAACCAGTGGAACAACCTGCCTCCAGAAGCTGTGAATGCTCCAACACTGGAAGTTTTTAAGAAGAGACTGGACAGCCATTTGTCTGAAATGGTATAGGGTTTCCTGCCTGAGCAGGGGGTTGGACTAGATGACCTCCAAGGTCCCTTCCAACTTTACTATTATTATTATTATTAACTTAAGTTTGCATGCTATCTTGTGACTTTAAAGGGGCTAATAAAGGCATGGTTGCCATGTAAATATTTAAAAGGGGAATATACACAAAATGTATTTGTGTATATGACAGCCAGCTTAAAACGGAGCCTCGCTCCTCTCTCTTTTTTTTTTTTAAAGCGGCCGCAGCCGGCCTTTTCCCCAGGATGCTTGCCGAAGCCCCTCAGCGCGCAAGATTACCTTCTGCCCGGAGTTTACTCCCGCTAGCAAACTTCGCGAAGGCGGGAATCTTCTGCGTTCCAGGCTTCCCATTGACCCTCTCGCAGAGTAAGAAGGCGGAGTCAAGCCTCCCCACACCGGGGGATGAGCGGTGTTCTCGCGAGAACTCTTCCTTTTTCTAGGCCGGCGCTGAAAGTGGTGGGTATGAGCGACCGGGGCCTGGCGGGAGGCGATGGTGTGTTTTTTCCTCGGAGGGTCCAGCGAGATGGTGTCGAGTTGGGGGAAATCTGCTTTTCTAGGCCGAGCGTCTCGGGATGCATCCGATTCGCCCTTTCTTAGTTCTCGATGGCCGCTTGCACCAGGAAAGGAGCTTTGATCTTCTTGGGTGGGGGGGGACGCTATGGAAAAAATCCGGGAAGAAGGAAGGAAGAACTATAAAACACCCGATTTGGCATTTTAATGGTACTTTGGGGTCAGTAGATCTCAAATGGGCCAAGGCTTCCGCGTTCGTGCGCTTGTTAACACTCGTGAGGTTGTGAATTCAGCCTACGGTGGGATCCCAGCAGATTTACCCAGGAGGCAAGATCGCCTCTTCTGCGGCGTAGTTTTCTGCAAAATAGGCTGTTTTCACCCCACCGGTTCTTTCCCGGCCACAGTTTTTTCAGTAATAAATGGCTTTTCTTGCTCTCGTGGATGGCACATGGTGGATGAACTTATAAGCTTCGGCATACGTGTTCTGGTGAGATGCTGGTGCAAATCAGCCAGCTTTGCTAAAGGCCTTTGAATTTAACACGAGGTTAATTGCCATGTTTTCCTATCTTGCATCTCCTATATACTGAGTAAGAACCGGATCACTGTTTGAAGTTGATTTTTTTTCTATACGGCAAATTCTATTCCAATGGGTAGAAAGCGGCTGTAGTATTTATGTGCGTTACTTAAGAGTCTGGCTATAGAGATTCTCGGTCATCATCCAAGTTATGGTTGTCCCAAAGTTGCTTTTTCTTGAAGACATTTCACTTCAGTTCACGTGTCTGAACTGAAGGAGCTTCTGGGATGGGAAGAAAAACTTCAGGGGAAAATGTCCACTTGCCTTCTTAAAAAAATCTTTTTGAGATCATCTAGAGTCAAATCAAAATACTTTGGTCATTGACCAGGGTAGCATTATACAATCTGATTTTTAGAGGGTATTTGCAAAGGATGCAATTGACCACCTCAAAGGTGTGGAATGTTTCACAGTAACTCCTCTGAGAAGATGCTATTAATCCAGGCATTGTATGGGTGTGTGAAGGGCTGTGTGTAAATAAGGGCATCGTGTACTTTGCAATTTGTATTGGCCATGTACAATACCCTTATGAGGTAGGCTATTCTTGTAAGCTTTTACTTGTATGAAAGCTGCAGTTTAGAAATAATTGTTGAGCAGATGGTTTAACTTAGATTTTCTTTTACTAAATCCTATATCCTTAGATACTTAACTGCTGTGTATAGTATTCCTATACATTCAATTATGTTGTAGATTACAGTCTGCTGGTTTAGTTAAACAATCACACAGAACTATCATGTGCTTTTCCTTAACTTTTGGGAGGGACATTTTTTATTCTGTACTATTTTTATTTTTGAATGCAGAAAGGCCATGTTCAGTTCGAGCGCAAAGATTGTGAAGCCCAATGGCGAAAAGCCAGATGAATTTGAATCTGGCATCTCCCAGGTATGTGCCCTTTTTGTTTGATAACAGTTGGAAAATTTAGGCTGAAAGAAATAAGAGCGGTGTTAAAATATGACTAATGAGGTGGTTAGTGTTATGGATTTGTAATATTTTGTGATAAATACTTGTAGCCTAAATGAACATGCTGTTGGAAATTTTAGTAAGGATTTTGTGGTTGAAATATTTTAAATAGAAATGGAAGTCGCCTTGGGTATTTTAGTGCATTTCAGAGGAACCTCTGCTGATTGCTTCTGGAATAGGTTCCAGACCTTTCAACTAAATGTGTAGCTCATCTAAGTATTTTAATCAAAATGCCATGGTTATATAATTATTTGTGAAAAGTAAAACATCCAAAGCAGAAAAAACAAGTGATTAATAATAATCTTCTCTTAAGGCTCTCTTGGAGTTGGAGATGAATTCTGACTTAAAGGCTCAACTGAGAGAACTGAATATCACAGCAGCAAAGGTAATATGTAAACTTTGGTTGGGATTATATGTTTTGTATGCATCTAGTATTTTATCTGATATAATTCATATAACATTTAGGTTTAATCCAAGAACCTCCTCTTGCCCTCTGGACCCCAAATATTCCAGACTGTTGAGCAAGATGCAGGAGATTTAGTATATCCAGATATGATGCGTAGTGTTTGATTTTATAGTTTCCCCTTCCATACCATTGATTTACTTTTATCATTGAAACCTGGAAATTGCTGTAGTCTTGAATAAACTCCAATATAGGCATTCTGGGAAGTAATTCTCACATGAGTTAGCCTCAATAGAATATGGAATTTTGTTGATACAGAAATTCCTTTGTTCAAAATAAAACTTCTTAAGAGTCTTCTATATGTTCCTAAAACTCCTTGGGTACAGTAACTGCAATCACAAAATTGTAGAAGGTACTTATGTTTTGACTTGCAGTCAGTATATTTGATTACATGCCTACGTTTAAAAAAAAAATCTTGTGTGGAAATCAGAAATGTTAGCTGAATCAGCCTATTTTCTTACGGTGTGTAATTTTTACATCAATAATTTGAAGATTTGTACATTTCAGGTGCAATTTAAATGCTTTCAAAAACAAAAACTAATTATTTTATATTAGATATTGATACAATTGGTAGATGTTACTCTTCTAGGGAGGAAAAAAAATCTGCAAACTCCATGTGATGTTAGGAAGGGCATCAAGTATACCCAGCTCCATCCAGTTGCCCTAATTCTACCCTGAATTACGGGATTACAGGTTCATAAAAAGAGAGTTACTAGGTATTGATAAATGTAATTCCCTTGCTATGAAACCAAGATGTAAAATGATTATTTTCATTATGTTGGATTTGATCAATGATGCATTCAAAATTTCTATCCAGATCTTTCCATAGGAATTTCTCAGAATTTAGTGCTCAAGAAGAGATGACTGCCAGATTAACTTTTGCCTGTAGAAATTCCAAAAATTAAGATACCTTTGGATCTTTTGTGCTTATGGAAATAAAATGCTAGTTTTGTACTTTTAAAATGTAAATCATGTTCATCCCCAGTTCTGTTTTTTTTGCTTAGGAGATTGAAGTGGGTGGTGGTAGAAAAGCAATCATCATTTTTGTACCAGTCCCCCAGCTGAAATCTTTTCAGAAGATTCAGGTGCGGCTAGTTCGTGAGCTGGAGAAAAAATTCAGTGGAAAACATGTGGTCTTCATTGCCCAGGTAGGTGTTTGTCATAAATATTTGAACCTTTGGTTTTAAAAACTGAAAGTGAGGTTTGTGAAGACGGTCAGTTCACTTATGACATTTGTAGTCTACCGCATATGGTTACTCGGCTAGTGCTAGAACTGGGTCTTGCTTTCAATTATTTATGCTTTATATTGTACTGAAAGTCTGTTTTAGGCTCACAAAAAGCCTGTAAAAGCCTTTTGTAAAAGTGCCTGTCTACACTGTATAAGAAACATGCTTATAGATATGCTGTTATTTTAACAGAGAAGAATTTTACCCAAGCCAACAAGAAAAAGCCGCACAAAAAACAAGCAGAAGCGTCCCAGGAGGTAATGTTATGTTTTGAAAATATTTGAAAACACAAATATTTTGGTACAGCTGTGTTCAAATCCTTCCAAGCTATTTATAAGTTAATGTGACAATGCTTGGAAATTTGAGACAGATTTAATGGCAGCAGTATGATTTTATTTGGTTATTTACTGGGTCTCAGTGTGGATGGTCTGTAACGTAGCACATGGTTTGCATGCAGGGAAATGTTAGGGCTAATCTATAATAATTTGCATAGGGATCCTAAATAATGATAAAGGCATTTGTCTAAGCCAATAGAAATCTGTTGTCATTTGGAGCAAATGGTATTGGATTTATTTATTTATTTATTTATTTATTGAATTTATATACCGCCCTATCTCCCTTACGGGACTCAGGGCGGTGAACAGGAGATAATAAAAACCACGATAAATATACACAAATTTATGTTCTAAAATCAACTGCTTTTGGATGCTTGGCAACTAGGTCACATAACTATTTGTAGTATCCCATGGTCATGTGACTGATCTATTGGGGGGGGGGTTTGCTGGAAACTGAAATTTACTTACATTTCCAGCAAAAAATGTCCATTGCAGATAATGGGTTTGCTTAATGATGGTGGCATTTGCTTAGTGACTGTTGCAAAAAAGTAATAAAATTAGGTTAGTCACATGGGTGCCTCAACTTACAACCATCAATTCCCATTATAGTTATAGTAAGTTGAGGACTATTTATAGATGAATGTGTCTACCTGAGCATAAAATTATTTTGAAAATGTTATCAATTTTTATTGGTCTATTGACAGAATGGAAACTGCTATCAGAAGCTGCTCTTTTATGTGATTGAATAGCCCTCTAGAGCAGGGGTGTCAAACTCAATTTCATTGAGGGCCGCATCAGCATTGCAGTTACCCTTGGGGGGCCGGGTGGGTGTGGCCTACTGGGTGGGCGTGGAGGGAGTGGGTGTGGCCTACTAGGTGGGCATGGCCAGCTCTACATTGTTCGCATCAATGGTGCCTGTGGGGGCCTGGGCAGGAGTGGGATAGATCTGAGGGTCTCTTGGCAGAAGTAGGTGGGANAGAAGGGCTGAGCACATGGGTAGTAGGTTTTTATATTCTCTAGCCTTTTGTTTGGAATAGTTTCCTGTTCCTGTGGCATGAACTTTGAGGCTATTTCCTGTGTCATGTATTCTGACCTGAGTTTAGGTGTGCCTCTCTGGTATTCTTTATGGTGATGGGGCTAAAGACTCCTAGAGTTTGGGTGGGGTATGCAGATTTTCGGTGTCTTTGTCTTCTTGATCTCCTAGCTGGGGCCTTTCTGATGGTTTACATCTGCATTTGTATAGGGCTGGCTTCTGCTTCGGGGAGGGAGACCTGGGCATGCTTTTCTGTCTCTTTAAGACCCTTGAAGGAAATATATTTTTTCCTGCCCTTTTAATATTTCCTTCTCTGGGGGTGGGGTGACTTCCCACACAAGGCTGTTGGAAAGGTAAAAGGAAGGGGGAAAATAAAGGCTTCAAAAGGTGTCGCAACTAAGGGATTCTTGCTTTAAAGCAGTGTTTCTCAACCTTGAGAATTTTAAGGCATGCGGACTTCAACTCCCAGAATTCCACAGCCAGCAATGCTGGCTGTGGAATTCTGGGAGTTGAAGTCCACATGCCTTAAAATTCTCAAGGTTGAGAAACACTGCTTTAAAGGGATGAGAGAGAGAGAGAGAAAACGAAACATTACGGGGCGGGAGAAAGACGCGCAGCTACTCACCAGGTGCCATACACTCCTATTCTCCTACCTCTCCGCACCGCGTAGAACATGCCGCCGCTGCCAAGGACTCCAGAACTGGTGGGAAAAAATGGATGAACGAGCAGAGCTAGAATCCGGCGCCACATAATAACTAGCCCTGCCGCCTCCTCCTCCCGCTCCCTCCCATCTGCGCCGCCGCCGCCGCCTCCCCGACTCAATCTCGAGAGTCGACCGAACCCAGACTCCACGCTTCCGGATGACGAGCTAATCGAGAGCCGTCGAGGAGGTACGTCGCAGCTATGGGACCGAGAACCGGAGACACAAACAATGGGGGAGCCACACTTCCGGTTTTCAAGCGCGACCGCGAGTCGAGCATCAACTGAGAGTTGATGTCGCGCCTCGCTACCTAGAGCAGCCTTCCCGTGGAAACCGGAAACACGCGCTCTCCCGTCTCTATGACCTCGCCTAAGAAAGTTTTTCCAAGCACGAAAGTAGTTTGTGCACATGCGCCACCGCGGTTTTTTTTTTTTTCCCCCCTTCCAGTTTCTGCCTCGGAAAACGGAAAGCTTCAAGCGAGATTTCCGTGGCGCATGCGCGAATTTTTGGCCTTTGTTTTGAAGGCGGGAAAGCGACTCAGATTTTCATGCCCGTAGATTGAAATGATCGCCATTTAATCCCTATTACATTCAGAGGGCCCACTTCTGAGCTACAATAGGAATGGTTGACCTCGACCTGTTTTTTTTAAAAAAACGTAATCGATTTAAATTGAAATTGCAAGAATTAAGTGATTTCAATTTTAAGCAGGATTTATTTACAACGCTTACGCTGCACTATTGTTTAGTTCTTAAGTTCTCGAGTAGCATGACGGATCGAGTTGGTATCTTCTATAACTTGTGACAGAAATTTTGCAAGCCACTTGTTACAAATTGATTAAAACTCCCTACTATACTTTTTTCCAAAAAACAAACAAACAACCCAAGTAAAGATAATGAACCTCCTGTGAATTGTGAACCTTTATATAAAGTAATTAGTTGTACAATCTTTCACACGGGGAAGTTTTAAGAAATTCCTTTCTAAAGTAATTTAAGGAGAAATTCTTTTCTAAAATTAATACATAAAGAAATTTACTGGGACAGAGAAATGCAAGACAGCCAAAAATTACGTAGGACTCCAAATACTAAAATATTTAGACTCTAAAATACTGGATAGTGCTATTTGATGATCTGGGTTGGCATAACTTTTTCTTTTACCTAATCCCTATTGTTTCCTAGGCAAGTTGATTTATTTGGTCTTTCCTGTCCATGGTGCTTAGCAAATGGATGGAAAAGAATTACAATACCTAGAAATCAATTTTTGAACTAAAATAGATTACTTGAATTCAAATTCAGCACCTCTGAAAGCTGACAAGCAAACTAATGTTTCCATACAAGAGAAACCTATAGCAATATTGGATTTGTTTTATTCAATTTATATAGCTGCCCATCTCATAGAAGCAAAACAAAGTTTAAAGCAATATAAATATCTTTAAAAAAGCATCGAACCAAAACATAACCAAAATAGGTTAAGATAGCATCCAAAAAATAGAACTATCACAGGGGTTCTCAACCTTGGCAACTTTAAGACTTGTGGACTTCAACTCCCAGAATTCCTCAGCCAGCTTTGCTGGCTGAGGAATTCTGGGAGTTGAAGTCCACAAGTCTTAAAGTTGCCAAGGTTGAGAACCCCTGAACTATAAGAATAAAGCCGGGGTGTTCAGAGCTTGTTTCTTGCAGACATTTGTGTTTTGTCACTGGGAAGTGGGGTTTATTGGATATTTACATATAACAGTTTGTCCTATCAGATGTTACCAACTTGTAATAAAATGTTTGCAAAAAGAAAACCAAGCTCAGGGAACACTGAAAACCTAGCAATTTAATCCTATTAGTATCGTCTTTACTGTTGCAAAATTTGATTTTCCTACTCATTCGCCTGATGTATTTTTGTTCTCAGATAAACACATTTGAAAATACTTAGAAAAAAGCCACTTATAAAACTGCATTTTTAAATTTCAAAAAAAAAATGGCTGGGGGTTTCCCCCCCCCTCGGTGTTAAGAATACAATACAAAAGGAAAAGGCTAAGGCTTGTTCTCACGTTCTATTTTAGCGTTCCAGTTCCAAACAAATACTCCCAATTTCCCTCTCCTTCAATTTCTCTTTTTGTCCGGCCTAATAAAGAACACAGATGAAGATCACGTGAAGTGTTAATACCACTTTACAATGCCTTGGTAAGGCCACACTTGGAATACTGCATCCAGTTTTGGTCACCGCGATGTAAAAAAGATGTTGAGACTCTAGAAAGAGTGCAGAGAAGAGCAACAAAGATGATTAGGGGACTGGAGGCTAAAGCATATAAGGAACGGCTGCTGGAATTGGGTATGTCTAGTTTAATGAAGAGAAGGACGAGGGGGGACATGATAGCAGTGTTCCAATATCTCAGGGGCTGCCATAAAGAAGAGGGAGTCAAGCTATTCTCCAAGGCTCCTGAGGGCAGGACAAGAAGCAACGGATGGAAACTAATCAAGGAGAGAAGCAACCTAGAACTAAGGAGAAACTTCCTGACAGTGAGAACAATTAACCAGTGGAACAACCTGCCTCCAGAAGCGGTGAATGCTCCAACACTGAAAGTTTTTAAGAAGAGACTGGACACCCATTTGTCTGAAATGGTATAGGGTTTCCTGCCTGAGCAGGGGGTTGGACTAGATGACCTCCAAGGTCCCTTCCAACTTTACTATTATTATTATTATTAACTTAAGTTTGCATGCTATCTTGTGACTTTAAAGGGGCTAATAAAGGCATGGTTGCCATGTAAATATTTAAAAGGGGAATATACACAAAATGTATTTGTGTATATGACAACCAGCTTAAAACGGAGCCTCGCTCCTCTCTCTTTTTTTTTTTTTAAGCGGCCGCAGCCGGCCTTTTCCCCAGGATGCTTGCCGAAGCCCCTCAGCGCGCAAGATTACCTTCTGCCCGGAGTTTACTCCCGCTAGCAAACTTCGCGAAGGCGGGAATCTTCTGCGTTCCAGGCTTCCCATTGACCCTCTCGCAGAGTAAGAAGGCGGAGTCAAGCCTCCCCACACCGGGGGATGAGCGGTGTTCTCGCGAGAACTCTTCCTTTTTCTAGGCCGGCGCTGAAAGTGGTGGGTATGAGCGACCGGGGCCTGGCGGGAGGCGATGGTGTATTTTTTCCTCGGAGGGTCCAGCGAGATGGTGTCGAGTTGGGGGAAATCTGCTTTTCTGGGCCGAGCGT